TTTTATTAGTTGGGAGGGCTCTTTATATTTTGAACATGATTCGTCATTCGAGATATGATATAGTTTACAAAGTTGATTCAGAGATCATCTGTACATCCAATTAAACCGGTTACAGTAGTACTTGAATTTTATGCATGCTTTATCCAGTAAAGAAACCGATTTCTTCTTTATTCTATCGTTTTCTCAGCCTTGATAAAATGTAAAATGTAGTTGCTTATTTGATTGTTCTTTTTCACAAGAGTGTCCAGGAATTTCACTTCATCTTTACGTTTTACTTACATTTGTCCTTTTATTTCAGCAAATTACCTGCACATATAAATGTATGATTTTGCTCTTTTTTGTTGAAGGTAAAATGCCGGATATTCTTAAATGTGATATTATGTCTTCCTTTTCTTATACAAAAATTCCTCTTACCACCACCCTGCAAAATGAGATGAAGGAGATTAAAACTTAGACTATTATGAGTAAGAGGAACCTCGTATACTAAAGCAGAGGAAGGAATAAGCATATCATCTTCTCCCCCACACGGTAAAAAAAAAAAAATAAAATCGATGTAAAGTAATAATAATTAATCGGACACCAATATTAAATTACCGTAAGTTTTTATATTTACTTTCCTTTCGGACGTTTCTTTCTGATGTAAGAGAGGAAAAAGCGAGAAGAGAAATGAAACTTCCAAGTACTCCCTGCGTAATTCCAATCATGCTGCAGCCTCTGCAAGCAAAGGAGCTTAAGAACATATAAGCCTCTTATTCATGGAGGGTTTCTTAAGTCACCCAAGTGAACCCTAAGTGCTAAGAAGAAAATACAAAATAAAGTCGGATTGCAGGTGAAATTCAATCAAACTGAAAATGTATCCGCATTTGTATCTTTTTAGCCCTCAAAAGAATTTATGTCGGAGGAAACAGCTTTACTACGATTAAGTTTCACTAAAAATAGCTCGGTGAGTAGGTTCCTCTTCTGCATTTGTCCTCACAAGCCCTTCAACTTTCACCATTAAAAATAACGAAATATTAACACAAAAAATCACGCCTAAAAAGCATTGGCTTAGCCCCCACTCATTGTGACTAAGCAGAACTGCAAAAATAGTTCCAATCCAAAACCTTCTCCAGTCCAATCACCCACTGAACTGAAAAAAGAAAAAATCACGGTTTGCACTGAGTGATAGTTTTGAGTCGCACATTTCAACACATAGCTTGCTTCATCATACACCGACAATTTTACCTTCAACACCCTTGTGTACCATATATTTCGCTTTTTTCTTGTACCATACTTTGTGAAATAATACAATTGCTTTGAGAGGGTTACATGCTCCACTAAGACTTCCTAAGCGCTTTTTTGCTGGTATATTGCTTGGAAAACTTCCTCGACAAATTACTACAAATTAATCCCAAACCTCTCTCTTTAAAAAAAAAAAAAATATCGAGGAATCTCAACAACAGACTTGATGACATTTCAGAGGAATTAAACTTACTGAACTATGATGACAACCTACAAATAACATTATGATTTTCTCGTGTGACAAGCGTTTATGTTTTCTTTTCCATTTTTGCAATCTCGCATTTTTTAGTTTTTTTTTTATAAAAAACAAAAGTTTTTGCCGTGTTAGAATACAAATATTTTTATAATTATTGACTTTCTAGGATGAACGGAATGAGTTATACTTATTATTTTGAGGGGAAATAAACATTCCAACTCTTCTAGGAATAAGATGTACGATGGATAGAGGGTAATAATATTGATGATCAACAAATAGAGCGAGGGTTTTTTTTCTCTCTCCTCTCCTGAATGGAATGTAGTAAAAAGTATTATTTTCAACATGGATTTTATGAAAAATGGCCATCATGCCGCGCAATGCATCCTAAACTGCCCTCTTTTGACTCCCTTTATTCTTTAATTCGCGCGAGTAAAGGGTAAATATTTCGATTGAAACAGTAATAATTACCGGTAGTAAAACAGTGGAATGACAAAATACCTTTCTGACTTTGTATACTTGAGTTAATTAAGTGTAGTGGTCTTGGTGTCCAGTTGGTTCGCCCAGGGCCTGAAATTAATTTCCAATTCCAACGGTTTTTCGATGATCCAGTCGAATGAGGAGAGAAATTTTCGTGATATTGGTGTAAGGCTCACTACTAGATCGACGGATTACACCAGATCATCTTCTTGCTTTTGATCAAATGAAGTTACAGAAAGAAATGTTAAAAAAAGAATAATGCAAAATCTCATCAAACAACTTATGAATTATAGAACTTGAAATAAAAAAAAAAAAACTATAAATAATGGAAAATTTCCAATGTATTGCAAGTTTGACAACAAATGAGCTCGATGCTATCAACGGTGCTATTTTGTAGTACCTATCTCCTTCTCGGTGAGTCTCTTGTGGTATCCCAATCAATTGAAGGCGGTTTTTAGAGTTGCCAGTGAGAGAGAAGATTTGAACAGTACATGAAATGTTAAAGGAAGTATACCGTGGCTTCTAAGAAACTTCTTTGAAACTTCTTTTCTCTACCTCCGATTTCATTATTTAATTTCAAAATCTTTGAGACCTATTATTTTGTCACTAGGTTCTTTTTCAAATGAAGTTCCAAATTCAATAAAATCTTTCATATTTTATTTTACATTTAGGGTACATTAGCGTGGTTGCCACTGTCACTATTTTGTTCAAATTCAGGAGCTCTCTGGAAAGAGGGCCCCTGTCGAAAAATCGCGTCGTTAGAAAAACGTATTTGAAGTTTTCAAGAATGGATGTTATAAGAATTCAAACAGAGTCATACAAATTTAACGGATCATCATCAAGGGGGAACATAACTCATCGAAGTAACCGTATGTATGGTCTTAAGGATGTGTTGCGTCGCGCTGAGATGTCTTCCAATTTGAATATGACTCACGAAAATGAAAGTAATCACAATTATTTTTCATGAACGTTTATTCCTGTTGGTTTAAAAGTAGTTTTGGTAAAAAGCATTCCCTCACCTTTACAAAACTTATTGTTAATTTTAAAGAAGTGTCGCACCGAGGCTTTGATGGAATCTTGACTTCCTCATTTAGTCTCCTGAAACACCCCCATTGGAGTCGTAATTTATTTAAACAAATCATCAATATTAATGGGAGAAAGATAGGAGTTGCTGTAAAATTAACAAATATATTTGTCGATGGGATAAATAAAAACTTTATACAGCTTTAAAATAGTTTTCACGGGGTTCTAATACAGCGAGTCGCGAAAATCGCAATGTCTCTTTTAGTAGTGTGGTTCGCGCGTTACCAAAGCGCGTTATCAGAGAGCAACCCCCAAATCAATTGTATTATTTAGCAAGCAAAACTCACCCAATGGCAATTCATGGAATGAATGGAGTAAATGTAAATTCATAGGGCATCCTCGCAGCCGTTCTGTCGGCAGTAATGGGAACAAAAGACCCGGACCAAATATCCACAATGGCAAAACAGGCAGGTGAGGTAAGCATTCTCCTGTTCTCTCATACATTACTTCTCATTACATTACAACCCCACGGTACTTCCTTACATTACTTTTTTACTACTCAACGTTTAACTTGAAACTCGGCTTTGGATAGTAGCAGAGGATCCAACTGAATTTGGTATGAAATTAATGCTATATTTTATGAGTAGTTTGACAGTATTCAATTGATTTCCGATTAACTATGCCTACATATGAAAAAACAGACAAAATAACCGGAGGAAAAGTATCAATTTGACAGACCTACATCGAGATCAATTTACCTACCTACTATTTTGAAAACGTGATCTTCGGACAGGAACAAGTGAAATTACTCAGTACTCGCCGATAGAGCCTCTTTATACATTTTGAAAAATTGCTACGGCACGTTGCTTGAGAATTGCTTTTGTCTTGTATCAAGGCACTTAGCGTTTTTTCAAGCCTGTACATACATCGGGTGATTTTTTTTGGAATAAATTACCTTCAACGGCTGTTACTTTCATGAACTCATAACTATAACCATAAGGCTAATCTTTCGATGCGTTTTGATTCTGTCGTCGTTCATCAATAAGTTTGACAAGCTTGCTCCTAACTTTATAATCCGGACGCATAATATATTGGGGCACTTTTACGCATGGGATATTTTCTTGTACGTGACTTAACTAAATATATTACATTTTAAAGATCGCACAGGATGTTCTAGAAATAGTACAAAGGTTTCCTTTTATTCCGAAATTCCCCTGGTACGTGATCATTTTTAAACATTTTTCTCATCTCCATATCTGCATTACTAACTATAAAGGCGCAGATATATAGTGATTGTATGAAAACGAACCTCCCTCTACAAATATGTTAAAACTTAAGCTTTATCAAAATTCTTTCTCGCTAATAGGATTTTAACCTGAGTGTCGCACAAAAATAAACTTCATCTTGTAAATGTAGGCGTAAGTCTTCAGAATTGGATTTCGATTATTTCACGATACTTGGGCAGCACACACTTCTTGCAAGCTTTCAACACTGTTTTGCTTTTTTCATTGCCGAGATAAGCTTCCATTTACTGATTCCAGGGAACTTAATTAAACTAAGTCAAATCGATAGAGGAATGCATGTTCGTAAAAAAAATTAATAATTGTTCTTAATCGTCACATCTTAGCATAGCTTTAAAAAAGAGAAACATGTAAACCTCATAAGAAAGTAAAGCCACTGCTTTATACAAAAGATCCATTTCAAGATATCGCATAAAGAATCAAAAGCAAAGCTTACACTTCGTAAATGTTTCCGTTTCAATTATTATTCCTGTTGGAGATGCTGATCGCTTGTTTATAAAAAAAGTGGCTTCATATTTGATGTTTCCTGTCATGCTTTCAAAATGTCTCCAAGCGATTTTGGGAACGTACACTCATAAAATAAATTTAAGATCGACTTCATTATATCCCTTACAAATGCCTAAAATAGCGTGCATAAAACAAGACTAAGAGGAGAAGACAAAGAAAGAAGAATGAAATGGGAGATTGTTGAAGATTATTTTATCTCCAGTATATTTCAAGATTTTTCCCTCAAGAAAATGCATTGAATGCAACATTTTTCTCCCTATTCATTCGTACTTAAAGAAGCGGTTTGAAAACTTCTTCTCGAAGCGCACCATGCGATCGTTTCCACATGTGTTCAATTAGAGAATCGGTCTTTGTTTCATAATTTAGTTAGGTATTTTAATTTAGAATACAACCAATAACTCAATTATTCTATTTTGCTCACAGTTTATTAACATCGTAGTCAACCTCCTCGACGCCCTCAAAACGTCTTTCAGCCATCGGTCTTTGGCCGCCCGATCGATCGGAAAGAAGGATTCCGTGTCAGAAGCAGCCGTAGCCAGTCTTTCACTATTAAAAGTAAGAGCACTTTTTGACACCAATCAACTTTTTTTAAGATGGCCAGAACGCCTTCATTTTCATCTGTATGCAATACGGACAGTCACCGAACACTAATAGTTGCAACAAGCACCGACGGAAGGCGCCTTTATCAAGGAGAATTTTCGTCCTACTATATATTTCTTTGCCTCAAATTTAAAACAAATTAATTGTTTTTTTTTTAATTATTGAGATTCTTTACTTGGAAGAATTTTCTACCTTTAAGACAACATCATTGCGTTCAGTGCTTTTTGTGACAGAATTGGAGGAAAAAGACTGAATTGCATAATAAAATAAGGAGCCTAATTTCCTCTGATCATGATTTGTGATTATCATTCATTATATGATGTTTTATTCCTTCCATTTTCTTTTTTTAAGGGATACATGAGGTCTATGAACACAATCGACGAAAAGTGTATGCAGAGATACATCTGTGACGCTAACAAAGAATGTTCAACTGACTTGTACGGATCTAGTGCCATTTACTGTCAATTAGGAACGTAAGTATCTTCATCATCGTCAACCACACGAACCGAATTTCATGCTAACTATCTCATTCTCTAATGTAGTTTTTTTTTGTCGGAGTTGATGCCGTAATGGAGGGGATATCCCACTCAATCCTGAAAGTCCACTGCCATATCAATTTAAACTCTCCATGCAAAGATAGGGAGCAAATACATTAGCAGGGTTGCCGTGTTTCCAGGTTTGGAGTTCCAAAACAAAGTGGCAACCCTATTTATGTATTTGCTCCCTATCTTCGCATGGAAAGTTTGACTTAACATATAGCAGGACTCAAAGGATAGTAAAGGGTATCCCCTCAATTACGGTCTCAAGTTTGAGAGGTTTTTTTGGGTTTTGGAGTTTGTTTCAGAGAAAAGTAGTGGCACCATTGCAAAACATTGTGTTTATCGCAACATTTTACTTAGGAATTGTACTTGATCTTAGTACACATAATTAGTGGCGCACAAATTAACGATTAAAATTTCATGAACCAAAAAATGAACGAAAATTCAGCTCACTTGCACTACATACGAAATTCAAGTTTTAAACAAGATGGATAAATGGTGCTTGGTCCACACCATTTCGCAGGGAAAACAAAGTCGAGAAATTCCAAAAATTTCAATTAAAGCCGAAAACATATTTTTTGGAGCTCTAATCGAATCTTCGGCTCTAATTGAAAATTTTGGAATTTCTTGGCTTTGTTTTCCCCGCGAAATGGTGTGGACCCAGCACCATTTCTCCGCCTTGTCACATACAGTTCGGGCCATTCTTAATGTTTTTTTCTCACTTATGTTTTAAATATAGTGCAGCCTAGTTAAATTTCTGTCCAATTTTGATTTTTAATATTTGAATCTGTACTTAAATCGCAAGTCATGGGTGGCGGTTATCATCTCCGGACAAAGTTTAAACTCCGCAGAAGCGATCTGAGGAAAAGGCAGAGACAAGAGACCCTCCACTCGTATCTCGGCTATTGTGAAAGCTTTTACTTTCGGGACTTCAACCATTAACTGTTTGCTACCTACATGCATGGTTGATGTTTAACAACGTGTTGGCAGTTTTGTTCAGCAAACAAGCTAAAACAAGTTGAAGTTTGGGAAACTTGTTTGGCTCATGACGTCACCCGAAGCTCATCATCCACCATGTAGGTAGAACAACAGCCGAAATTAGGATGATGACTGTTGCTCCCTTATAATTGTCCATAAGGAAGCGTTGAATCCCCGAAAGTAAAAGCTTCTACCTGTCACCAAGAGGCCAGTGGAGGGTCTGTTGTCTCTGGGAAAAGGTGAAAGGCAACCATATTCTTGACACTTGCAAGAGCTCCATTGCTCGCGTATGAATATTACTAATTTTGTTTTGGGGTTGATTTCAGCTATGCTACGAGTCTGCTGATGCAGAAGACCAACGCCCTGCCGTTCAACAGCATATACAGCGCAGGGAAGCGAGGCCGACTTGGCGAAGACTGTCGCGCGGTTTACGAGTGCATGAACTGAGCTAGCTCATCTGAACGTGCCGTCGCCAACGATTTCTCGACTGTTAAGCTATCGCGTATCCTAGTCTAGCGCCAGCGTTGTCCAGCCACCGGATGTTAATTGAGTCAATGAAGAAGCGTGCCGGAAATCAAATTTCGTGCTGCGAAAGACCGGAACAGCTTTATTCTATCAAATCCCACTGACGAATCCTCGCCTAGTGGTTCATTTCACTCAGGAAACCTTACTCGATGGAAAATCATCCCACATTTCACGGGTTTAGCTGGATCCTGTGTAAAAAACGAGGAGGTGTCAGCAGAGATTTTTCGTCCAATACTTTTAGATTTCATGCGGAAGTATTCTAAAATATTCAAATTCGACAGCTTGACTGATTTGATTGATGAAACTTCAGTGTTCTTGATTGAATCTAGTTATCCTTTTCAATGCCTATGAAGCAGTCAAAATGCAAATCTGCAACACTTTATTGCATGATTTCGGTGAAAATGACAGTTTCGCGGTGCTAAAATTTCACAAACTGCGCCGAAAATTTCAAAATAGGTCGGAATCATCCCTAGAGGCAAGATCCTCGAAGTCAGAAATTTGATAGAAATTCTTACGATCCCGGTAATTTCCGGTTTGGTTCTCATTGATTCAATTTTGACGTGTGGCGGCATTCGCAACGTTTCCGAACATCTGGCAACGCTGCCGAAGGCTTATCACAGCTCGCTTCTGATCTCATGATTTGACTAAAAAACACAACTGGCGTGGAGAGCTATTCTTACGTAACCTTGGCCCCAAATAGGATGTTCTTTACGCAAAGTTTAAACCTATTTGTAGATTGTAGCCATAAAGTTTGTAAAAAAAATGTCAAATTTACTCAATTCCAAGTAAACGGCTGAGATATCACGTAATTTGACCCTTGGAAGGGGTCAAAGGTTACGAGAGAATGACAGAAAATGAGAGAGGTGTGTGCACTCACGTGGATTTTCTTCCTTTTTCCTTCTTTAAAATTGATCATTGTCCAACATCATTCGAACAGTCTCCTCATCGTCATTTTATATCAGTAGCTATATTTAAATGCTCTTTATATAATGCCAAAAGCATCAGCCTTTCACTTTTGTTAAATTTTTGCTTTATTTTTCAAATTTAAATTGTTTTCGAAGAGAGAAATTTTTCGATTCCCGGAATCACACACCTCTCCAACGTCTTAAAGCTCTGTCAGGAAGAAGGTTCTTTGAAAAAAATGTTTGAGACGGACACGAATCTGGCCAAAACAGCTTATTCCGAAACTGAGAAATTACAAAAAAGTATTTTTTTTTAATCTTAAAGTTTTCGGAGCGAAAAGCTCGGTGCAACTATGTAACAATACCTTTTTCATATTTTCTGGGAACTATTCAAGAATCAAACCTTGTAAAATAATAAAATATGGCTAAATTTTGATTGACCACGCCTTCCAGAGAAGTCATCTCTTTTTTACTGAGAACATGTCTTGAAAATATGAATCAGGGTGGACACCACCAAGTTTTGCCAGTATCCAGTCATGATGGAAAATTGTAAACAAAATTTACTAGCGCCTGAGAAATTTGTCAATACTACATTCATTATTTAACTCCTTGGTTGTAATGGAGGAAATGTTTCGGTACTATTTTGAGCTGTAACATTCCATAAGCGAGAGTGATTTTTACTCGTAAACTATTTATTTTACTTATCACGACTTCACCACCCCACGATCATCGCTCATCCCTCATCATCCTCATCATCATCACTTTCATCATCACTGTGTCATCATCATTTTCATCGACAACCGTTCTTAATTTATTATCATTATTTATTGAATATTTATTTTTAGTTTATTGAATTGTTTGTTCAACGAAACTTGGACCAGACACGACTTGTTACTGAGAATGTTCTTGCAAGGGCCACTAGAGGATTTGTTTTTGAATAAGGTATTTTATCAAGTTTGAAGATAAATTAATCAGTCATCTGCTCTATATAAAGCTGATTGCTGCTGGCTTTGAGCTTGGTGAAGAAAAAAAAACTAGTTTGATATTTTTTTACTTGCTTTTAAAAAGCGGCAACATTGGGTTGAAAATAAGTTTAAATACAATAATGGAATGTAAATCAAACTTATAACCTCCCAAAACTAATTCAAAGCCAACTTTTTCCTGAATTTTTGTGCTTTGGTGGTCAGCAGGACGTATTGATGAAAATGCTATACCAAATGTCAAATCCTCTCTAATTTGGATTTTTAAAACATTACTATTAATTGTACCGGTCCTCTTAAGTTCCATTCCTTCTGCGTTTCCATCAAACCGAATCCATAAATGGCAAGTTGCAGTAAGGTAAAGCCATATCAAAAATTTGTGCTATCGTGGAATATAGCAGTTCACTTAGTCATTAGAATAGTGTAAACTACAATGAGGGGGGCATGTAAACACTAAAATTTCTCATAAAATGTCCACTCAAAGATTTCGCGTTCGACTGAAATTTATGCATTTTTCGTTTTGGAAGAAATCGAAAAGAGAAGCAAAAATTCAATCTCGATTCAAAAATTGTTTTGCTCATCTAAGACAACAAAAAAGATTTAGAATAGAAGATCATGTTGGTAATAAGCAAATTACACTGTACTCTGCATTCAAAGTGTATGAGTTACGTCGGATTGCTCTTAATTGTTTGAGCACAGGTCTATTAATGGACTTTTGATGCCTGCATGCTTCCTTTGCTCCATTTCGTATACAGTTCATTAACGATGAAATGAAAAAGTATGTATTCAATAACTAGGCCTTCAGCCATAGGAATTGTGCCTAAATTTTTGCAGCCTTAAACAAACTAGGCAGCGGTGAGTCAACATTGCATTTTAGTCTATCATAAATATTTTTTGATATTCCTCCAGAAATCATTTTACACGCCTGACAGCCACAGAGCACATCCTCCTGGGGTGGCACTGGTGTTTGAGCTGACGCAAGGCGACCTTTCATGTTCAGCATGACGAATAATTGCAACCGAAACTTAACATATATAAGAGCTTTAAAATTCTATTAGACATTTCATCTGTTCAGTGTATGAATGAGAAATTACATTTAACCCAGTGTCATGTCTCTTGTTTGCCTTCACGTAAAAAGCTTGGGTCTTGATTGATAGCTTATACCAAAGATTAGTTTTAGTTAATTAGGTTTCTCAGGAATTTTCACCCAAACAGTAAAATCTTCAAAACATGTATAAAACAAAATTTATTCCGAAAGACATCGCTCCCCCCGAATAGGAAAAAAATAACCCATGCATTAAACTACGCGCATAAAGCTATTTTTTATCTCTTCAAAATTTACTTGCCTGCTTGCCTGAAGATTATTCCTCAACAAGTATTTCATATATTGCCGTAATTCCAAACATTTTGTCCATCTGAGATCAGATGGATACTGATGAAGAACTCCAAGCCCAAAATAAATTTAGCAAAACTGCAGTAGGTATTTCGATACTTTTGGGTGAAAAAATGGTTAAATCTAGGTTTTGTTGCTTATTGTTTCTTTCTACCGCCCAAAATGATGTAGCAGTTACTTTAGAAACATTCCTTACATTCTGTGTGTCCAAAAATTGATTGATCTGAATAATCTTTCACTGATCCTCCAAAAATGTAACGCAGGATTTTTAATTTCTTTTTTTATAGTTTGGAGACTCTTTTGTTGGTATCCGAAAAGTCATAACTTTTTTACTGCCACAGAACAACCTATTGACAACATTTTTGTGAGAAAGTATGTAATTGACTGGTCATCCGTTTTCCGCAAAATCGTGAATATTTTGATTACACTGCCTTTGAAAATTGTTGATATCTAGGCAAATATGCGATTTCTCGCCATACACACATCTGACATTATTTTGAATACTTAAACTCAAATTGACAAGTATCGAAGACAATGCAGCGCAACAAATCTTAGATTTAAACATTACTTACATTTAGGCTAGTTTGTAAGACTTAGAGTAAGCAGCAAATTGGGAAGTGTTTCAAAAAGCGCCGGAAATGGAAAAGATAATAAAATGATAAATTTATTTTACAAAATTTAATAGTTCAAGACAGCAACGAGACCTCTGACTTTTTCTCCTCTCCCCCAAAATCGTTTGTTTGTACGTATTCTTTAGATAATGTAGAGCTTTTTGGTTTAATTTATAAAAAAACATTCAACGCATTGTTACCTAGTTCCACTAGGAAATAGGTAGTCATTGCCTTATCAAATACACCACGTATTTTGCGTGAGGACTTTCAAAGTCAACACTTTTCGTCAAAATTGAGAGGATTGAAATAAAATAAAATACAAATTAAAAAATTATACGATTTGCTATTTCTTCTTTAACAAAGAGGAAAACAAATTCAATTTAACGCGTTCGTAATTTTTTCTTCTTACATGTTATCAAACTACAATGTCTACTCTCGACGTCTAAAAATGTTATTCTGACAAAACTATTTGTGCGCGAATTAGTTTTGATCAACGGTGGTGTGGTATAATATTAATAATGGCTCCACCAACACGATCCCAGTTTGCGTAATAGGATAGACCAAAGGCAGTGATTCGGAGAGTCAAAATCAAGAAAACCCTCTTCCAAATACATTTCAATAATTACAAAATTTATCCATTTTCACCACTTACAACTAATCGGTACAATTTTCATGAGATTACTTTTCTATACATTACTAAGTTGATGTATACATTAGATAGATTGGCCGAGTAATTAAAATAAACAGATTTCAGCAAAAGAAATCCAGTTATGTAACTCTCCGAACCTGATAATTAGAATAAGTAATTTTACACATCAAGACTGAGCCATTTTTACTGAAGGTTTATACGTCAACGTCAGATAAACTGATTTCTGGAGGCAATAAATACACATCATATATACACTTCATACTCCATTTACAAGGAGTATGTCCTTTAATTGCAAAATTAAATCATCTACCTAAATTGAAAGTGCCTTTGTAAATTTTGGTACGTAATATCATAACAAAATAATGATAAAAGTGTGCTTGTCAACTTGTTTTAAACTTTATAATGTTTCGTTTATAAATTTATCAAAACATGAACTGTATACGGCTTAAGTTTTGTAAGATAAAAGGAAATTGAACGTGATTTCGAAATAATTTGTGTTCTTATAGGAAATACTAAAAGAAAAAAAAATCATTACCTTGTTCAGACGCATGACAGAATTATATACCCATAGATATGAACTGTAAAATTGCCTTGCATGAACAACAAATTCTCACCTCACTGACGAAATCAAACTGACTGTTAAATGTTTTTACTTGTAGGTAGAATCTACAATTAACTTTGTATAATATGTAATAAGACCCCCCTCAACTAGGAAATTTTCAAATAAATTCTATTATGAAACTATAATATCTTGTTTTTATCACGCCAAATTCCATTAAAATGTTTTTTTGAAGTTTACAAGCCGCGTTACGAAGAAAATAGGAATTTCGATCACCAGCATTCCTAATTTCCCATCCTCATATTTTATACAGATAAAACCAACTTAAAATTCCTCTGGTGAGTATCGATACCTCAGGAGTCAGGTGGAAAATTATTCTGTAAAGTGGTCCATGGTGTGGTGGAGCGAAGAATGACCGCCCCCCTCCCACTCAACCACGTGTTCCCATCAGGGCAGGGCTTTACATTTTCACTAATGCGCCATACCCCTTCGATGAAAATCTTGGCTCAGTGCCAACAATTCGCGTAAAAACGGGTTGCCTCGTCAAAAACGAATTAGCGTTTGCTGATCTGGGAGTGGCTAAACACAAAAAAGTGGCTTTTTTTTGGTCAACTTGGCTATTACAGTATGGACTCTTAATAAGTATTGTTGCCGACACGTGTTTCATATACGTACATTGTACTTAAATACTCTTTTAAAATTTAGAAAATGCCATAGAAACCTGGCAACCATGGGACTAAGACTGTTTCCCCTCCGCGTGTGAATCTGCGGCTCTTCGCCGGGTGGAAACTGAAGCAGTGATAGAAATACTCGTTAGTATTGTAAATGTTCTTTTATATTCCTTCATTCGAGAATTTTTACAAAGAGTGGGTTTTATCATATGGCAAAATCAACTTTTTAACCAGCAACGATTCGTCTATCGCATATTACCAGTGTCTCGGTATCCCCTAGAATCATTTTGGTTATTCTTCAAAAAACATGTTTCTCACGCCTGGAGTCAGGCGACAATTGGCCGCCGCCTTGACATGTAAGTTACATCTTTTTAATGCGCACACGCACTAACATCTTTACAAGAGATAGATATCTATTTTCTAAGTTGTTAATGACCTGCATATTGTTAAAGCACCCGTAAATAAATGCATTAAACAAAAAACAGCAACATATGCTTGTGTTGTCATGGCATTTGTCACAACGAAAGGAAGTGTGTCCGACAACATGCATTAACTTTTCACGTCCATTTTTTCATTGTGTACATCTTTTTTGTTTGTAGAGAGGAATTTTTGAAAAATGATCTTCTATTGCTGTCTTTAACGATTTCATAAAATTCCACTTTCTTACGTGCACTATAAATAAATCATCAGATTAATGTTTCATCGAATTTGAACCAATCATTTCTAGACCAAAAGTCAATTGCAACGGCTCCTAGGTTACGAATAATGAAGGTCCATTACAAATTCATGCGATTTTTGTAGGTCACAGATGAGACGTTGAGACTTGTAGTTTTATGCAAAAGTGACCTTTGGTTCGAATACTTATGATGTGAATGTGATGACCATTCACACACGAGACAAAGAAGCAAAAGAAAGGTGACCATTTAGGGAATTGCATTTCTGCTTTCTTTAGCCTGATAGTGAGTGAGGATAAAGCCATATCGTGCTGATTCGCTTGAAATTTCCATCGTTCTTTCTTGAAATTTTCTTTTCCATCGAAAATTCTCTTGATTTCACTCTTTGTACTCGTAGGAATTTTACAGTAGGACATTTTCAAAAATGCGAGGATACCCTAAATCCAAGAGGCTATTTCCATTACGCAGCAATAACATACAACGTTGCAACTACAAAATGGAAAACAAATGGGAAATAATAAATGAGATGAAAATCCACAAACCAGTCCGGGACAACAAATCAGAGAAAAAAAATAACAAAGATATATCGAAAAATGTAGCCAAACCATAGAAAAATAAAAAATTTTGTATTCTTGAAAAGAGTTATAGGAGATTTACTCAAACAATAAAAAGTTCTTCAAAATTTGATGAATACTTGATGATCATTGCTAGTCCTCGCGGATACTTGGAATTACAGACCGTGGAAAGCTAGGCGTTTTTTTTTATTTTTTACCTACAATCTGTACAAAATTGGGTTTAAATATTCTCTTAAAAAATTCTTCACAGTGTTCCCTTGTAAGAGGCCTCTTTATTCTGAGCCTCTCAGGCAGGAGGTCCCAAGAGCGGAGAGTACAGGAAAATAAAAGCTCTTTGTTTTCATACCCGCGTATAATTATAGGTCTAACTTTTATTCCATTCAGCATGCCGCATGTTCTTGTTGCCATATCTCGAGGTATCACTGAGAGAATGGATTGCTGCGAGGAGTTGATAAGAGGACTTGACCTTGGCGATATTTCTGCTGGAAAAGGATTGAAATTACGCTTCTTCCTACGTATCGCTCATTTATATGCCATCCTCATACCGCGTAGAATCTTGAGAGTATCATTATGTTACAGTAATTTCAATTGAGACAATCGTGCATTCACATACCCAGCAGCTCAATTAAAAATTCGGTCTCTGGTTTTACCACTGTAGATGTAAAATACTTTACTAGTGGGTTCGGCCCCCCTCCCCCCCCGGCCCGCGTTCGAGCCCTTAGAGATGTTTGTCACTGCCAGTATGATGAGAGTCATCTAGAAAGTTTGAAAAAACGCGATTCAGAAAAAAAATTGAAAGCTTAATGACATGATTGTGAGCAGAGGATTGAACAACTAGACTAAATTCTCCGATAAGGAACTAATATTTTAGACTCACGCCGTATCCATGTGAGGCAAAAAAAGCATTATTCCTGTCTTTCTCTCCATCCAAAAATGTATTCAAGTAAAAAGATTTTCACTTTAAAATGTATTTCGTCATTTTCTATTACCCCCTTTGCATTGCGGAATCATCCGAGAATATCCCGTATGGCTTCCTCTTTACAAAGAAAACGCATGACAAACAAAGTAACGCGATAGAAACTAACTGAGATGCTTTTCCGGACGACAAACTCGGCGTTTGAATGATGAGCGGAGTGTAAAACAATGGATGAATATTTGGAGTTAGGTTTGAAACTAACATGCAACTATTTTAACTCTGCGGCGGGCCGGGTTGCATACGCTCGATTTTGCGGGCGAAATCTGAGATGTTCCCACGGCTTTCGCTGTAGGTTGTGCGTGCAATTAGCATTTTCCTCAAGCGTGACGTATATTTCGGTCAACTATTTGGATGTGCTCCCGTCGTACAGTTTTTATACGCGATATTAACAAACTGAGATGCTTTTCGAAGACGAATTTGGCATTTGAATAATAAGATAAATCGAAGGAGGTTTTTTTGTACTACAAAGAGAAGGAACAAAAAAGAGGGAAACAGGTCAGATAGAGCGTAAACTTTGCACAGTGTTTTACTCGACAATATTTTAATATGAACGATTGCGTATTAGGCAGGGCGGTTCAGTGCGATCAGTTATTTACTGTAACTTTTTCTCGCAGGTATTTCATCTACCTGACGACGCAAGGAATCTTAATTTCCACCTATGCCTCAGCGAGTGTAGAATTATATGGGCGGCAAGACTCAAGTAATAATGTAGGTATGTCCTTACGTCAAAGAAGTGGTGATTTAGCAGGAAAATAAACGGCGTCTTCAAAGAGACGTCCTGGAGTTATAATGAATGCACATTGCACAATACATAGGGAGAAAAAAATCCAACAGCTTTTTAAAATGAACAAAAAAATGAAATTAGCCAAGAAGAAAGAGATATTCCAAAACCTGCCAAATAGCAGTAATGCATCGTCACTTCATCAGCTCCATCTCGGTCTTGAACTCTAATTTGGAATTAGGAGGCTACGCGCCCTGCGATTGGGAATCTGCACACGTAGAGCTGCACGCCTCATATTGCTCCCCTGGCATAAAGGCGTAAATGCATTGTATGATGAGCCCTGTCGTCCATTTAACTCAATGATTTCCCGGGATCATTTCAATGTGTAGTTACGCCCCTTTGTCGATTATGCACAGGTTTTCAATAGCGTTGAGATAGTGGCGAGGGGAGGGTGGAGCCAGAAGCGCGGACTGCAAAGCGGAATGGTTAGGGGCGACAATTAAAGCTTTATGCGTTATCTTATTATTTTTTATTATAAAGTAAGATATTGAAGTAAAATATTTCGCTCAGCACATCCTCTGGTAACTTTGTTATTCATCTAATGTTTTACGGTTTATCAGCCGCTTGGATCCCGTTAAAATTTATCTTGAGATCCGCTCTAAATAACTCGATCCACCGAAATTATTAAAAATGTTACCGAACTCTCAAAATGGGATGCAGTTTTGGAGGAAATACCGTCTTCAAAAAATTGCCCATAAGAAATTATTTTCCGTTTTTTCTCAAGAATTTAATTTAAGATTTTTTCGGATATCTGGAAGTGTAAAACAGGGTTATAGGACATTTCGTCAACGATTTTTTGTCCGCGCACCTGTTTTTTCCAGTAATTTACGTCAACGCGTTTTTTCGGCACGGGAGTTTTGGTCCACGTGCCAGTTGAGACCCAAAGTTAATGGGCCCACATGTAAATACAAACGACAATTGCTCACGACGCTTTTGGATGACAAAATATAATGTCTTGAAAGAATGAGGGTTTGCTTGTTTTTTGTTTTGTCTGTTTGGTCCAACGGAGAATAATATATAGTTGAGAGTTTTGGTAAAAATGGGGGAGCGTCAATTCCTATTCACTAAAAATCTCTATACCTCGTTGGTGTAACAGGACTTAATTATCTTTTCAGAAATTCCCACCTTGTCATACCTGAACCGCATAAACCTCTATATTTGCCTCAGCTAAAGGCTCTTAGATTTTTCCTGTGTTCGATAAGTATCTTGATTTATGTTGCGAGGAAAGATTTGTACTTTTAAAGGATGCCTTTCATTATTCATACGTTCAATTTCGTATGATACTGCGTGCAACACCTCTGTTGTGAAAAAGTTGCTTCAGGCGCTGCCGCACGGCGGGCGGGCGGCCAGCGCAAAACGCGCATTGGCGCCTACAAACCTAAGTGGATACTTCAAGCATTGTGCAATGCGTGGAGTATCCACTTAGGTTTGTAGGAGCCAGTGAGCCTCTCGCGCTGGCAGCACGTCGCTCCGCTCTGTTCGGCTTTAATTTTTATACTCGCATAGTCAGCGTTTTTTGACTCATGATTTTGAAATGTTAGCACACTCTGCATTGATTATTCTCATTTAAATTGATGGTAAAAAATATGTATCAATTTATCAAAGGAGAATAAGAATATAATGTGTGTTTTTTTAAATTTTGGTGGTTCTGTGTCAAATTTAATGATTTCCAAAGCACTTTAATTTTTTCTTTTACATTTTGTGCTTTTATTGTGCTGCAGCGAGGTGTACGCGCAACAAAACGCTCAAAATTTGACGTATTTTACTCTAAAAGATCGATGTATTAATAGGTTAAAACTAAAGATTGCGTGGTTCTTGGTTTTTTTTCTCTTTTATTCATTTTTGCAGTTTCTGTCGGCACAACTGCGGCTCATGGATTTAATGTCGCTTGGAAAAGGTTTTACAAATATTTGTCACGTTTAAAAAATATAAATGTTTTCAAAATGAAGTAATGATTTCGTAAAGAAAAAATTAAAAAAAACAAAGAGAAAAGTCCCTATACATATATAAGGTATATTGTACATCGAATATTTTAAGGATAGAAATAAAACCAAATATTCACCAATGAGAATTTAAAAAGATGATTCAAAAGAAGAAAGCAATAACATTTCATTTAGAAAATGAACAACCATAACAACACCTCCTTCTCTCTCAATTTCTCATTTCCATATTTTTAATATAGTTGTACATACCGACTAAAATATAACGCTTGGACCAAGTCACTGTTGCTTATGTTACGTGTGGGCCTAAACTACTGGACAAAAAAGGTGCGCGGACAAAAAACCATTGACAAAATGTCCTGAAACCGTAAAACAGTCTATTAAAGTTGAAAACGTGCGATACTTAAGGCGCGCAAGTCGGCGACCGAACGCTACAATCCATTAAAAGAACTCGATTGTATGTCTAAGATTAGAATGTAGCCTTTAATCACCAACTAGCCAAAACACAGGCCACTAAAATCAGAAAGTGCTTTTGAAAGGAACTTTGAAACTCTTGTCGGCTTGAGTCACTATCCCGCAAAACAAGATGGGCTCTATTATCATCCGAGAATTATGAATCTGTTTCAGGTTCCCTCTGTTGTCTCATCACAGAGCTGATGGTCGGCTGGGCGGCGCCTAGCCTGAAAAAGTTGCGAGAACCAGATTCGCCAGTTCACTTGACTCGTCACCAGGAGGCATGGGTGGTGAACGCTATGTACTACGGCAACATCGTCAGCCCTTTGCCCAGTGGGTTCCTGATCAACCTCATCGGTCGGAAGACCACCCTCCTCATCGTGGCCGTGCTTCCGACCGTGGGCTGGATCCTCATCTACTTCAGCACCTCGGCGACCATGCTCATGGTCGCCCGCTTCCTCTACGGCCTCTGGACCGGCGTCATCATGACCACCCTCCCCATCTACACCGGCGAGATCTCCGAGCCCCACGTCCGCGGCGTCTTCGGCTCCTTCTTCCAGATCTGCAACTCCGTCGGCAGCAACCTGTCCTTCCTCGTCGCGCCCTACGTGTCCATCCAAACGATGGCCGTTCTCTGCGGTAGCGTCCCTATCATGTTCATCGTTTTATTCTCGCAATGTCCCGAGTCCCCCTATTACTACGTCATGAAGAAGCGACCGGATGCCGCGGCGAGGTCGCTGTTCTGGCTCCGGGGCGGGAAACCGGTTTCAGAGGAGTTGCAAGTAATCCAGACTTCCGTTGCGAACGAGGAGAAACACGGCAGCAGATGCATCAACTTGAGCGTCCCTGCCACTCGGAAGGCGTTCGTCATCGTGGTGACGATGAACATCTTGCAAAGGTTGAGTGGAATCAGCTTCATGAAAGCCTTTTCGTCCGTCGTGATGCCCAGGGTGGGTATCCTCTCGCCTGATCACTGTACGATCATCATGGGGGTCGTTTGGACGGTTTCGTCTTTCATCTGCACGGCGCTTATAGATAGGGCTGGCCGGAAACCATTGCTCTACGCCTCCAGTTTAGGGATATTTGTCTCGATGCTCTGGACCAGTGTATGGTTCTATTTGAACGACAAGACGGACGTAGATGTAAGCCACTTGAGCTGGCTCCCTCTGGCGGGAGTGCTCGTCTACGGGTGCACGTTTTCCTTCGGGCTCGGGCCAATCACGAAGCTGTATCCGGGTGAAATGTTCCCGAGTGACGTCAAAGGGCAGGCCGCGGCGCTAACGGTCATGATCGCGGCGTTCTCGTCGTCAGTTAGTACGGGATTGGCTCCAATTCTGAACGAACATTTTGGCGTTTATTCAAATTTTCTTATTTTCTCCCTCATAGGGCTGATCAATCTCCTCTTCACGTATTTCTGCGTTGTTGAGACGAAAGGCAAGTCCCTACAACTCATTCAGGCGCAGCTGAGAGGTGAGCGACTGGACGAGATACGAGACAGTGATGCTTCTGAGAAGCACGCCTAAACCTCAGGATCGTATTTATTGATTAAAGTCACACGTATTGTTAGTTATGCTTAAATCGGGATTCGGCTCAACGGCAGAGCTGAAGAGGCAACTAAAGTAACGTAAACATATGTAAACACTCAAGATGCATTTCAAAACGGTGCCTTTAAATACGTTAGACTGTAAGAAGATTTTCATTAAGACTGATAAGTATATTGTAAAGTTTTATGCACGTGAGAAAGGTTTTAAAATAATACTCAGATAATGTTTTAAGATTTTGATGTACTCTCATGATTCTATTGGAATATTTTTTAAATGTATTTCATCATACTAGTCGAAGTGATATTTCAAAGAATGAATCAAGTCATATTTTCAGAGAGATATACCTGTAACTGAAAGAGAGAGAGAGAGAAAAATAGAGAAACGAAGAAAAAAATAGGGAGAGAGGAATTTAGAGGGGAGAGAAGAGAGAAAAAACTGTGTTGAAATTGAGAAAAATAAAACTTCAAATCCTTCAACTTCAACTTTGTCTCACCTGGTGTGACTTGGTATCTAATGTAATTTTCACCTAAATGTGATCTCTACTACAAACTCAGTTCTATAGACTCATCAATGTTGAGTCTGGAGCTGATAAATTTAAGGTCTAACTTTTAGAAATATATTAAATCGCAATTTTGTACAGCAATGTTAAAATATAAAATATGTAGACTGGTTATAATCAAAATATTTCAGGCAGGTTTATAATTAGCCACGAGAAAGCTTAGGAATGTACGAAATTGTTGAAATAAGTTGTAACGTTAGGGCCACGATTATTTGTGGCCAAAGTTTTATTATTATACAGAAAATGAACGCAACTTATGATAATAAATACACACGCTAAGATTTTTAACAGTGGGTGCACAAGTTCAGTATACAATTATACATGATATCTCACCGTTAAACCTTTTCTTAAAAAAGCTAAGCAACTTGTCACTGAAATGAGTTTTCTTCCGAGGCCAAACTTTCATTCCAGTATCACGTGACATTTTGGATTCTAAATTATACATATTTCTTGGCTGTTAAGTCATCGGTAAAAAAAGTTTTATTCAAGATGACAAGAACATTAGACCGCTCCTCAAGCGTGGCATTTGATGAATTTTCAGTAAATAATTATTTTTGTACATGGTATGAGTACGTTGAAAAGGAGAGGAAAAACAGATTTTCAGATTTTCAAAAAACATCAATTACCCCAATGTCTAGAGTAAAATGCAGATTACTACATTCCGCATATAAATCAGCAGATTTCATTTAGAAATAACATTCCTTAATCTACCCGTATCCACAATTAAGTCAGACTAGACGTCTAATGTTTTTTTGCATTTCAAATCGACAAATGAAGCTTTCCTCAAGTCCTTTTCTGATAAAAATAAAGAGCTTGAATTGTGTCAGAATTAGAACACGTCAAACGGTTGCACTGAAATGAAATTAAGGTGCGTCAGCGCTTTAAGTGAAGTTAAGGTTGTTAAAGAGTTCATATTTTACCGCTAAAATTAGAATGAACACAGTTTCCTTGTCCATGCAGGAGGAGAAGGTGGCTGATTATTTCGTTTATATAATTTTTGACCACTTAGTTATACATACATTAATACATTTTTATTCTTATTTCCTCGTAATTTTTCTTTTTATTCTTGCCTTTTTTTTTGATCTATATGCATATGTGTGAATCAATTGATGATACTTTCTTTCACTCCAAAGATATTCAAATTTTTTAAGGTAAAAAGATTCTCAGCTCACAAGCGCTAAGGGCAATCGACTACACGACTCTGAGGTGAAATCGCAATAAAATCACGTTGACTGAATCACAGGAATCTAAAATTTTATTTGCCCTAAAAAATACAATTAATGGGGCATTTATCACGTAAAAATTTCTGCTTCCTGGTGACGGAGAAAGAAATTCCTATGGATGCGGTAAATTTTGCAAGTATTAAAAGCGGACAAAGCAAAATGTGCTCAAGGATTGAATTTTAAATTTTTTAAATGTATGTGTTCAGCGTGATTTTTGCCCTATTTCACCTCCAAAAATTCTACTTCTATGCCTGCATCTCTGGTATGCAATAGGTCTAGTGTATGGTTTCCGTTAAATGCTCTGAGTTTTGAGAAATTACCTTCTTCAAAAGTTATATTAATCATTTTTAGAGAACGTTCTTTTTTTAACTTATCTTAAAACTGTACAGGTTCTCTGGAAAAGTATCATTCATAGAATGCAACACATAAAAAAATAAATAATGAAAAAAAGAAATAGAAAACAAGTGAGCTCAGTTTGCATGGTTTTGTAGATGGATAGTATTTTAGCCGGTAATTTTTACATCCTCAAATCTTCTTACAATGTAGTGAGAGGCGTTATGTTACGTTAGTCTTGTGACAGTTTTCAAATCCGACTGAATTTCCTTCATATTGCGTTGATACAACCCGCCTACACTCAAGCATGTATAGTTGCCATTTGAAACATCGTTGAATACTGCGCTCGACGATGAAGGAGCTACGAACGTCGTTTCTTTGTCGAGTCCACGTCTGTGCTCGTCATGTAATCGAGGACTTTCTTTTTATTAGAACAGAAAAAACTCAGAATAATAGTCATAGATAATTTTTATTTGAATGAAAATTCAGAATAACCGGGTTTCAACGGTTTCTCGTGGTAGATTATTTGTAGGTTTACTCAGTTTCTTTTTTTTCTTTCTTTTTGCAAATATCTCGTAAACAGGTTCTCATAAGGTTTTCTTACAAGAAAGCATTCTGTGTGTGCTTTTAGGTCAGGGCGTTTTCCATGCAGCAATGTACAGGTTTGGCATAAAGGTATAAGGTTTCACTTTGGAGTTTTTTATACAGTGTTTGTAATCAGTAGTTGTTTTAAAGTATTTTAGTATTTTTTTTTATCTGATTTTATTTTTTTTTTAAATGTATGTTCAGGGGTTTTAGGGCAAGATTCTTGGTTTTTTCATCCAAAAAACGTACCAATAACGAAAAATCATTCCTTTTGAGAGATAATAGTGTTAATATTCAATAAAGAATTGACCATTACGTAAGTACGTACCAAAAAACTGCAAAAAACAATCTAGCTTGAAAAATCTACAAAATCCTTTCGAAAAATATTTTCTGAAGCCAGCAGATTACAGCAGAGAACATTAATCAAAAGAAGTTGCTTAATGGGATTTCGTACTCAATTCGCACATGAGAGGAACACAGTTACAACCATTTTTTTTTATTTATTGCACAGTTGATCATATTTGTGACACATTGAAATGAAAGTTGTTCTTCTGTTTTGTGAACCTCAGTACGTGATAATTTGTCCATTATTTTTTTCTTTTTAACATATAAAGAAGATTTATCCCGGAAAGTCTATCACGCATAGGTAAACCTTTTCATTAACGTTTCTTACGTAATTCTCATGCTCATTTCACACATTTTATCAGTCAAATTCTGCTTCAAGTGTATCATAAGTATTGAGAATCGAAGAAAATTGGCAACAGTGGGTCGCAAGGATAATCAAAATTCACAGATGCGCATTTGGATTGCCAAAAATTGAATGGAGGTAATATATCACACATACAGAATTGACCTTTGTAGAAGGCATTCGACAAAGGTAGGAAAATGTTTTTTCTGGATATAATGTGCTACTCCGGTACTGCGCTCTTCATATATTCTGAGACTATGTTTAGGTAGAATATTCCCGATTGGTGAAGACCAGTCATTGACTGAAAATATTCTTGGTAAAGTTCACATACTGGTAGGAAAAATATCCCCGTGAAGTCCAGTTAAAAAGAACATGACGTCACCCTGGTTCTGATTATATGATCAACAACTTGTGTCTGAAGTCCAGTTAGCGGTGAAACTAATGTATTTAACACATCATTTAACGGTCAAAAGAATTTCTTGGCCAAGTCTATCGAGCGCACACAAAGGCAGCCAAAGGGAATGGTTTTTTTCTTCCTATTAAATTGACCGACAGTAAACGAGAGATCTCAATATTGAATATCTGAAGTACTGATGGAAAAAATGATTATGACATGAAAGTTAAAACTTCTCCCTCAAAATAATTTTAAATGCAGAACATATTCTAAAGAAAATTTTACATTATGATTTGAGTGCTTTTTATTGGTATGCCTGCCGATCAAGCAAGCTGACTTTCGATGTGGTTCATACAAATTGGTAGGGAATTTTGGAAAAAATGAGGGTTTTTTTAATAAATATCAAGGATGAAATAGCAGTAACACATCAAAGGGCACTAGACATAATTTCACCCCAGACATAATTTTTAGACATCAAAAGACATAATTTTCATCCTTACGAAATTTTTGAAATTAAAGGCGAGAACACGTGTCTCCTCGCCCCCAAAAGATTTAAGTGCCGACAAGGGGGAGAGAGCTTCAATTCAGCACTGCAAGGAAATATTTTGCTTGGGGAGCAAAATAATGTGAATCGGACCCTGATCGACCCTGTGATTGATAAAATAATAGGCGTGAGAAGTTCACGAAGGGCTACTAATCTAAAATGTGAAACAATTACTAGGATCCGCGTAGGGCTGAAAAAAGCCCTCAACACTTCCGGACTCGATTTTTCCTGAAAAAATAAAAATTAAGCTGCACTTATCAATGAGTAGTTTCAAGTATTTTGGACGGAACAGAAAAATATATTCTATTCGCTCGAAATATTAGAGCCTCTAGATCTACCACAATTGTTATACATATAATCAATCCAAAAATAGTCATTTGAATAACTTCTTTTTTCGTAATAACGCATGAGGAATACTCATAATGTCTTAAAAATATTTTTATCTAATGTATTGAATGAGGTTTTTAAATGATTACTATACATGATTTAGTTATGGGATTTCGCGAGAATTCCCGCTCCGTTTTCTCTCCTGGACACAGCTATGCTCGAGAGAAGAAGTCCTGTTTTTATCGAGGATGAGCTCTCAAATATCAAACCATCAAGACCCAGAGCTCTAAATCATCAAGACTTGAGGTCGACACCAGTCTGATTTTTTTTCTCTTAACTACATCCTCATCCATAGGCGAATAAGCGCATTGACACAATGACAGGAGAGTTCAGTCGGTTGCAAAACTTTGCAAAGTCGATATTCGCCGAAACCTCAGGAATGAGACTTGCTTGACCGGAGCCTCGAAGTAACTCGGTCAGGAGACAAAAGCGGCTTAATACAATTTGCTTAGTGTGCTAAGAATTAAATCGGCTTCGATATTAAGTTTCTCATTCTTTCATTTTCCTTCAATATATTCAATCGTCTTACCGCTGTGCAAGCACACCCCCGAATAATTATACTCTCGTGTCAATCGCAGGCTTTGCGGAGTGACGTTTTGTCGACGTTGCAGACATGTCTGTTATATTTCTTATCTGCTTCATTAATCAATTTTTCAAATGTTTAAGCCTTTTTTTTTTTTTTTTTGAGGGCCAAAGGTCCAGGATCATTTGGCTAGCAGGTCCATTATCTAAATGTCATCTCGAATTTCTCACACAATTTTTTTAATTTCTTATGCAAATTGTGAAGTAGAGAGTGCATTTCAGACATTGCCGATGCGCTCATCGAGATTTTTTAGACATTTTCCATGAGTAACAACTCTCATTTTTGCTCTCGCAAAAGTTTGCAACAGGCCCATTCATTGGATCTATTCATATAATATTTGTATTGATATTAATTCTTTTTTTTCTCTTATCATACATGAATTTAGCTGTATGGAATAGCCTCGATGGACATATTCCGAGTAGGCCTTAATCAAACATGCCTTTATGTATAATGCAACGCCATAGATGAGGAGAGGATACCTACCTTAACATTAAGCGAAAAAGTATTAATGCTCATTCTGATTGGACGATGGCCCTCATAGATATTTCGTATGAAATATTTCCGCGGAATGCAGTCAAACTTGCAGGAATTTTCCTTGCCCAATGCTAAATTGAACTTACTACTACTGCATCGTTGTGGTTCCGATATTGTGGTTTCAGGTGTTGATCTCGACTTTAAAGTTTCGTCATTAGAAATGCCGAATATAGACTTTGCCTTATGGCGGAAACAGGAGGATAAGAGACCTTTATCACGGCTCAGAAGTAAAACCTTTGCATTATTTGGCGAGAAATTACGCAAGAATCTTAAAAATTGACCCTTTGGCATCATTCCAAATTTTGAGAAGGAATCGTTACAATTCGTAAATGTCAGAGGAAAAGACTATTGGCATCAAACGCTTATAACATCAACAATAATAAAAACCTTGGTTTGAAACTTTAAACCAATGTCCTTTCCAAGTGTAAGAAGTGTTTAGAATCGAAATATGAATATCTTCCTCTCCGAGAGGGGTTTTTTTTTTGAGTTTTCACCCGGAAGAAACTTTTGCATCTTTCCATCACATAAGTTGCATAAATAGGTCACATTCATGTATGGAGATCAAGACTCAGCTACAATATAATCTTGGAAGAGTACCTCTGCTGGAATTTTTGTTAGGGGCATCGATGCTGTGGCAAGGAGAAACGCTTTATGAAACATTCAGACGTTTTTAAATTTCTCCCTAAAAATGTCTATTTTTAAGGAAGAACAATAAAAACACATTAACATACAAAAACAAACGGGTATACGAGGCTAAGGAGAAATAACACAAACCAGGAC